CTATGGGGTCAGTCAAGGGAAAGCAAATGAATAGCTCAAGTATGTACGCATCTTTGCCAATTGGCCCTAGATCTATTTCAGTGAAAGCCCAGGGAGCCTGCATGAATTCAGTCATTTTTATACAATGAAAAAATAATCAGTACAATACAATATGGCTCTGGGTCACTGGTCTAGACTTGGTTGGCAATGAAAGCCAAGGAAATGCATATGAATCATTCATTATGCGTCTCGCAAAGTTTAGCATGCATTTCTCAGGAGGACTGGGACATTCCAGGGGGTTTCACGTATAATTGTAGCTTCGCAGCCTTGTCCCAACATACATGTGATTCTCATTATGTTGTAGTACATTGTGAAGGCCTCAAGGCTCCAATTACAATCCGTCAACGCTGAATGTGGAATCCTCATCACTGATCTACCTAAACCATAATAACTGGCTGATGCGTGCACTGAAATTGTGTTTATGAAGTGCCGTCAGACGTTGAGGAAAACCAGAGCGACCGGCCAAATTCGTCTTCTGAATGCCTTTAGATTTACAAAGCTACGCTGGAGTGAATTTTAGAAAGAAAAAAATGGAGGCAGTAAAAATGTGTTAGTGTGTCATTAAGAACCAAGACACAAAGTCCCCTGAGGAGCTAAATTTGACCTTGGTTACAATAAACTGTGACTTTGGTCTGTATGCCAATGACAGCGCTGTACATTATAATGTATGAATGAGTGAGTGTGTGCTAATGAGCACATGAGTGAGTGACCTATCCAGTCGCTCTTTAAATAGACAGGTCTACAAAGGGACAAACACAATACGCAGCCGTTTCCCCGTATGACATCATGTGTCCAGCGGCTCAGCAGAGTTTCCTGACGCTGCCCTATTGAGACTCCCTACAGGAAAAGGGCACTTACAATTTTTTCCCATAAGCACACATGCACAATGATGCACTATATCTCTATCTATAATGTTCTGACCTATGTTCGACATCAATGATACAGTGCATCTGGAAAGTATTTATAGCGCTTCACTTTGTCATTTTACAGCCTTATTCCAAAATGGATTAAATTAATTTATTTGCTCAACAGTCTAAACACAACACCCCATAATGACAATGTGAAAAAATATTTTTTGAAATTGTTGCAAATTTGTTAAAAATAAAAAAACCTGAAAAAGTCACATGTACAGAAGTATTCACAGCATTTGCTCAATACTTTGTTGATGCACCTTCGGCAGCAATTACAGCCTCAAGTCTTTTTGAATATGATGCCACAAGCTTGGCACACCTGTCTTTGGGAATTTTTGCCCATTCCACTTTGCAGTACCTCTCAAGTTCTATCAGGCTGGATTGGAAGTGACGGTGAACAGCCATTTTCAGATCTCTCCAAAGAAGTTCAATGGGATTTAGGTCTGAGCTCTGGCTGGGCCACTCAAGGACATTCACAGAGTTGTTATGAAGCCACTCCATTGATATTTTGGCGGTGTGCTTTGGGTCATTGTCCTGCTGGAAGATGAACCGTCGCCCACGCCTGATGTCAAGAGCACTCTGAAGCAGGTTTTCATTCAGAATGTCTCTGTACATTGCTGCATTCATCTTTCCCTCTATCCTAACTCGTCTTCCAATTCCTGCTGCTGAAAAACATCTCCACAGCATGATACTGCCACCATCATGCTTCACTCTAGGGATGGTATTAGCCTGGTGATGAGCGATGCCTGCTTTTCTCTAATTGTAATGCCTGGCATTCACTCCAGAGTTCAATTGTAGTCTCATCAGACCAGACAATTTTGTTTCTCATGGTCTGAGAGTCCTTCAGATGCCTTTAGGCAAATTCCAGAAGGGGAGGGGCTTCCGTCTGGCCACTCTACCATACAGGCCTGACTGGTGGATTGCTGCACAGATGGTTATCCTGCTGTAAGGTTCTCCTCTCTCCACAGAAGAACGCTGGAGCTCAGACAGAGTGACTATCGGGTTATTGATCACCTCCCTGACTAAGGCCCTTCTCCACAAATAACACAGCTTAGATGGCCGGCCAGCTCTAGGAAGAGTCCTGGTGGTTCCAAACATCTTCGACTTACGGATGATGAAGGCCACTGTGCTCATTGGAAATTTCAGAGCAGCACAATTTTTCTGTAACCTTCCCCAGCCTTGTGCCTAGAGACAATCCAGTCTCGGAGGTCTACAGACAATTCCTTTGTCTTCATGCTTGGTTTGTGCTTTGACATGCACTGTCAACCCTTATGTAGACAGGTGTATGCCTTTTCAAATCATGTCCAATCAACTGAATTAACCACAGGTGAACTCCAATTAAGCTGCTGAAACATCTCAAGAATGATCAGTGGAAACAGAATGTACCTGAGCTCAATTTAGAGCTTCACAGCAAATGCTGTAAATACTTATGCACATGTGATTTTTCAGCTTTTTTATTTTTTATCTGCAACAATTTCAAAAAATGATTTTCATATTATCATTATGGGGTATTGTGTGTAGAATATTGAGGAAATAAATCAATTAAATTTTTTTTGGAATAAGGTTGTAACTGAAAAAATGTGGAAAAAGTGAAGTGCTATGAATACTTTCCGGATGCACTGTAGTCATATTGTGGCCATTCTTAATCCCTTATCCCATTAACTGTCACCGTCCAACAGGTTAGATGTTATTTACTATATATTTAATGCATCATATTAAATGCATCCAAACCTGAACTTATTTTGACTATATATAATATGCATAAATCAAATCTAATTAATTTGATCTCGAAAAGTAGGGTAGCAGTTAAGAGGGTAAAGGCATGTTCAATTGTCATTTTCATTGAAATTAAAGGACAGAGGAATGTAAACAAAACAACAAACTAAGCAGGGACTTTGCTGTGAATTGTCACTGCATTCAGATGATGTGCCGGTGAATCTAAACCCATGCTGTTTGTTGCATTCTATTCATTTCTCAGAAAGTTACGTAACATGACAGTTAGTTGAGCCAAACTTTTTTTTTCTAGAGACAGAAGGCCATTTCTGCTCCACTTTAAACTGGCAATTAGATCATTCACAGATGCAGGGTGAACTCGGGCTCTATTAAAGGTTGCCTGTTTCATTTAAAGTAGGGTTTTGTTTACATTCAGCATCTTGGTCTGAGAGTACCAGTGTTTTTTAAACATGATAATAACACATGCTGGCATGGTGGGCTGAAGTTCATACTGGTAAATATATAACAGGGCTGCATGCAAATTCATGAATAATTCCCTACTATTCATACACAGAACAGAACACAGAATGTGACAAAAAAAGAATTTATGAAGACTATGAACAAAATACAATCTATTACTACCCGCCAGAATCAGAAGTGTGTATATATGATAGGTACATTAATATACCATGACCACACGGGACAAGATTTGTGAAAAGAAGGAAGCAACACAACCGGTAGCACGCCCAAAGTAGTACATCCATATTACATTTATACTGAAATGCTATTAAGTATGGCTGCCGTCGCGTCATCCAGGTGGATGCTGCACACTGGTGGTGGATGAGGAGATCCCCCTCCCCCCCATGATGTACTTAGTGTTAACCAGGGCTATTTCAGGTAATGGAAGTTTATAGTGCATTTTATTTCCAAATATGTAGTACTTTAAAGTTATATAAAACCACATTGAAATACTTTGAGACAGGGGTGTCCAAACTTGGTCCAGGAGGGCCGGTGTCCAGCATATTTTAGTTTTAACCCCAATTAAACACAACTGAAACAGCTAATAAAGCTCTTTCCAGGTATACTAAAAACTTCCTTGCAGGTGTGTTGAAGGAAGTTGGAGCTAAACTATGCAGGACACCGGCCCTCCAAGACTCCAAGTTTGGACACCCCTGCTTTAAGATACATGAATTTGTTTTCCTTCGGCTTAGTCCCTTTATTCATCAGGGGGTCACCACAGCAGAACGAACCGCCGACTTATCCAGCATATGTTTTGCACAGCGGAGAACTGCAACCTAGTACTGGGAAACTAGGTTACGCACTCATTAACACACATACACTACTGCCAGTAGTTAGTTTATCCAACTCACCTATAGCGCGTGTGTTTGGACTCGAGGTTAGCACACACAGGAAACCCACATAAACATAATGAAAACATGCAAACTCCACACAGAAATGCCAAATGGCCCAGTCAGAACTCAAACCAGTGACCTTCTTGCTGTGAGACGACAGTGCTAACCACAAAGCCACCATGTTGCCCACTTTAAGATATTACAAAATGCAAATAAAAGGTTAAAAGGAGCATAAGTGACAACAGGAAAAGAGACTATGGTGGGTTTGTGGAATGTTTATATTGTGTATGTGCTATTGTTGAAGTTCTTGTTTTACTTGAACATGTGCTGAGATAAACTCTTGCAATTCTGTGTAATAAGGTGGCTTTACCCATGACTGAAATCGGTATTTAAAGTAAACATATTTATATTCAATTGCATGACAAGGCTGGTCATGTGACCCCAAAAATGCCGGCGCCCATAAACGACAGATCATGAAGAATAAAACAGCATTTTCCTGACTTGTTTTCTATTCTTCATCTCCTCAACACCTTACCAAGTGAACATTTATCATTTACACACCAAAAATAAACATGGACACGGATATGCTACAGCAATAATACACACTGGTACGTCAGAATAATGTTCTCCCATGTTATTCTGAAGCCATAAATAAATGATTTCTTGAGATATGTCACCGCGAAGGCCCGCTGCAGTGTATCCACCTTGTTTCAGCAGTAGGACTCATAAAGGTGAGCTTCACATTCCACATTCATGCACAAACCAGTCCAGCGATGATGTCACCTTCATTTCTGTTCCCCCCTCGAAAAACAACTCAATGACTTTTCCGTGCAGCAACTTTTGTCTGAAAGCAGCTGGCTAACGTCAGACGATAAAACAATAGTTTGTTTGCCTCTCGCATATGTCAGTGAATGAATAACTAAACAACCGGCGTGTGGGACGCGAGAAAAGACAAGCCGTGCAATGCATGAAATGTGCATCTTACCCCAGTCTAGAAACTCCAGGACGTTCTTCTCTCTTCTGATGGGAGAACTGCTGCACTCGTCGTACAGGCAAACTAAGATATCCAACAAGGTCTCCATGCTGAAGCACTGGCCGCTGGACTGAGACGGGCCATCCATAATCAGTTTCTCCAGCTTCTTTAAACGCACCTCCACAGACATGGTTTCAAATGGTGCTGATGCCTCACAGTATGCTCAGTATTTGCACAAAAAAAGCTTAATGACTCAAAAAGATAAGGAGTCAATCATGGTTCCTTTCGCAAGGATTCCTCCATATATCAATCCACAACATCATGAATTCGCAGTCCGTAGGTGCAGAGAACTTACAGCCATCGACCCTGCCCTGGCCGGTGGATTTGACGTATATAACCTAGGCTTATGTATTCCCGACTGCAGCGTCTCCTTTGAAGGACAGTTTGCACAAAAGAAGTCACCAAAGAAGTTTAAAGCAATCCCCTGAGATGTGGTGATATCTGTGGTTATCCATTATGCAGTAACAAAAGCGCATCAGCAGCACGGGATCTGCATTGCTACAAAGCCCCATATGCCCCTCCTCTGCCAGGACTGCGAAAGCCTTAGCAAGCTGTTTTTTCCTTTAAATTCCTCTCCTCGTGGATACAAAACCCTGGCGGAAGGAGCAAATCTTGCTTTCGGAAACTGTTATGCACTTGTCGAGGCGAGGGGCTGGAAATGTGCGTCCTCCTCGGTCATGTCGGTGCGCGGAGGACTCTCTGCCGCCGCCGCCGCCGCTGCTCCCGGTCACTGTGTGTGTCTCTCTCTCACTGCTCGCTGCTGCTGCTGCAGGCAAAAACCGACATCATCATGGCGACCAGCACGGCATCTACTGCGGGGAACGGGCTGAGGGATATGCTGGAGGGGGACAGCTTGAGTAATGTGTATTAAAGCAGTTAGCAAATTTTCCGCCAATTATTCGCTGACCTTCAAGAGGGTCGACCCTTTTTTTGACGAATATCTGTCAGTAATTTGCTGTTTCGCGTATGCGAAGATGTATTTTAGTGCAATGCACTATCCGTTTTGAGTAATGAAGGGATGAAAAAAACGCTTTAGTCTTGTGGTGACTAAAGAGATAATAACAGCAGGACTTTTTTTGTTGACGTATGTCTGAAGGTGACGGAAACAGCTCGAACTACGTACTGTTGCTATGGTTACTGGGCAAACGCGACTTGTTTTCTTGAGCGTCTTGACTAACGCAGTTTGTCCAACTTTTATGCTAAGCTGATTGGGTTTCTACTTTGGTTTCCGCTTGTTTTGAGTTCCACAGGGGTTCGTTTGAGTTGAAGAGAACTTAAAGCGAACTTCTTATGCACGTTGAACTTTTGCCTTAACAAAACAAACAAAAAATAACACTGCACACCTTAAAACAGAAAATGGTCATGCTTGCTAATACCAGTGGAAATTGATGACTTAATATTCCAGTCACTGATGAGAAAAATACTGGAAAAAGAAGTTATAAATGTTTCACTCTTTGTGCCATAACTTCTGTAGTAAGTTTTCTTATTGTTGTGACAATTGCACGTGCGCCCTCTTGTGCCCGTTATACCACATTGCAATTGCAGTAAAAACTGTAGGACTGTACAGAGAAAAGTCACCAAGTATAACATCAGTAGTTTACAGAATAAAACAAAAAGTATGTTTTACTTAAATGCATAATTTGTAAATCTAGGAAAACAATTTCTAGCAATGGATTAATTAAAAAAAATTCAAGCACTCTTAGCATTCTTCAGTTTGAGATGAGATAGGCCTAGGTATTCAATTGTGTGTGTGTGTGTGTGTGTTTATCTATCTATCTATCTATCTATCTATCTATCTATCTATCTATCTATCTATCTATCTATCTATCTATCTATCTATCTATCTGTCTGTCTGTCTGTCTGTCTGTCTGTCTGTCTGTCTGTCTCTGTCTGTGTCTGTCTGTCTGTCTGTCTGTCTGTCTGTCTGTCTGAAATTGGGAAGAAATCTGTTATTGTTCCTATAGCCAAAAATAAGTTTCCTTCGGTAGTTAAATGATTTCAGACCTGTTGCGTTTGCTTCATTAGTTATGAAGTAGTTTAAGAGATTTATTAAAGGTGATATTTTGACCTGTTACAGTTTGCATTAAGACAGAGCAGGAGAGTTAAAGATGCTAATCTTACACTGTTGAATTAACCGTTTAATCACCTGGAAAAGCCCAAGACCCATGCCAGCTTGTTATTTACTGATTTCTCTTCTGCTTTTAATACTATGAAGCCACATTTGTTGGTGGGGAAGTTAATTTCTCTTTTTAACTTGGATCTTAATATTTGTGGATGGATTCTGGATGTTTTAGCGGGACGTCTGCAGTGTGTCAGAGTCAGTGGTGCTCTTTCTGACCTTCAGTATGGTTCCACTGGGTCCCCTCAAGGTTGTTGCCTCTCACCTCGTCTGTTCATCATGTAGACTAATGATTGTCGGAGTATGTACAGAAACTGTCATATCATAAAATATGCTGACGATTCAGTGATTTTTTTGAGTCTCCTCCATGTTCAGGATTTGGGGCATGGCCCAGTTGTGGCAGAATGTTCTTCCTGGTGTCATAGATTTTTTTTTCCAGTTGAATGTAAATAAAACAAAAGACATGGTGATTACACAAAGGCTTCTCCAACAAACAGCATAACAAATATTATAGGCATAGACATTGAAATTGTTGACAAATAAATATCTAGGGGTCGTTACTGACAATATGTTGACATTTTAACCTAACACCCAGGCTGTCTAAATAAATGTTCAGCAAAGAAACTTGGATCGTTTGGGGTTTGTATCTCTATGATGACACTGTTCAATAAACAACTTATTAAATGTGTTTTATTTTTCTGCATTGTAGCTTGGTAATCTGAGTGTGTCAAATAAGAACAGGTTGGGTAGTTTTGTGAAGCAGGCAAGATCATTGGTTTTAACCAAACTGGTCCAATGATAATTTACCATAATTTTGCTTTAAAGAGACCTCAGGGTATCACCCATCACCCATTGTTCTCTGTGTTTCAGCCGCTGCCATCAGGATGTCGTTTCAGAGTTCCTGTTTGCAGGACAAATAGAACTTAATTCTAGAAAGAAGTAGAAATTATTTATAATGGTAGCCATTCATTCATTAAATGAGTCCAGTGGGAAGGCAGATGCATCTAAAAAATGATGTACCATATGTTGTGTGGTAATATTTTGTTATGTGTACATGGAACTTTGTCTGTACTACGGCACCTTGGAATTTTCCATCCATCCATCCATCCATCCATCCATCCATCCATCCATCCATCCATCCATCCATCCATCTATCCATCCATCCATCTATCCATCCTTCCATCCCTCTATCTATCTATCTATCTATCTATCTATCTATCTATCTATCTATCTATCTATCTATCTATCTATCTATCTATCTATCTATCTATCTATCTATCTATCTATCTATCTATCTATCTATCTATCTATCTCTGTCTGTCTGTCTATATCTGTTTTTCTGTCTATCTATCATAAATGAGTACAGTCTTCACAGATCTCTCTTTTAAATAAAAATTTTCTCAATTGCTTTGGTACATTTCTCTAATCATCCTTAACATTTGCAAAACAGTAAATGTGCTTCTCAACAACTCTAACAAATAGCAAAACACCACGGATTACCTGCCAATTAAAGTATGTCTTTTGCTCAAAATCCTTAGTTCATCTCCCAAAAATAAACATCTGGGCCAGTGAACATGTATGGATAAGACAGTCGAAACGCTTAGTCATGTTATCAACATCACTGTGTACACTGGAGGGATGATCTGATGAAAACTATGGCTACAGTTTTGATGGCAATTATTGTAAATTATAGAATACACCTTAAGGTGACGTAATGATGCAGTGGGTAGCACGTTCGCCTCACAGCAGGAAGGTCTCTGGTTCAAGCCTCGGCTGGGTCAGTTGGTGTTTCTGTGTTTCTCCCTGTGTTCGCATGGGTTTCCCCCGGGTGCTCCGGTTTTCCCCACAGTCCAAAGACATGCGGTACAGGTAAAATGGGTATGCTAAAATAGTGTATGACTGTATGAGTGTGTGTGTGAATGAGTATGATTGGATGTTTCCCTGTGATGGATTGCAGCTGGATGGGAAACCACTGCGTAAAGCATATGCTGAATAAGTTGGCAACCTCAGATTGATAAAAGGAACTAAAGGGACTGTAATTTGTTGACATTCCATGTCATTGTGATGCAGAAAAGAAAAGACAGTACTGCACAGCACAAAAACTGAACAATCTCCTTAGGATAAACTGCACATGCAGTGCTGTAGAAATTACAGTGCAGCCTTCTTACACCTACTAGCTTTCCTGTCTGTTGGGCCACAAAAACTCATCTCTAATAACTGATTTATTTTATCTTTGCTATGATGACAGTGCATAATATTTGTATAGATATTTATCAAGACACTTCTATACAGCTTAAAGTGACAATTAAAGGCTTAACTAGGTTAATTAGGTTAACTAGCCGGGTTAGTTTAATTAGGCAAGTTATTGTATAACGATGGTGTTCTGTAGACTATCAAGGAAAAATATAGCTTAAAGAGGCTAATCATTTAAAATAAAAACAGCTTTTATTCTAGCCGAAATACAACAAATATCCAGAAGAAAAATATTATCAGACATACTGTGAAAATTTCCTTGCTCTGTTAAACATCGTTTGGAAAATATAAAAAAATAAAAAATCAAAGGTGGCTTAATAGTTCTCATTGCAACTGTATATATAAACATTATGGTTCATTAAATGCAGATTTAGAAACAAAAGTATTATAGAAATGTATAGAAATATGCTTGACATATTATGACAACTTGTTCAACCATTTCGCATGTAAAGAATATATGCTGTGTACTATTGCCTTAATGTTGTGGAAGACCTGTTATAATACATTTTGATGAACATGCAGTAAGTATACTACATAAATACATAAATGTATACTTTACATGCCAATTTGCACATAACAGCTGCACATATAACGTTGTATATAGTAATATACTTGTACATACACTTGTCAATTTGCATATTAGCATTCACTATTTACTTATGTTTTTAAAAATATTTTTATTATCTGCTTTTTGTCTTGTAACTGTAATTCTGTTCCACTGTAGAAGCTCTGTCATGAAAACAAATTCTTTGTACAGTGTGTGTGAACATACCTGGTAAGCTCTTTCAGATTTCTGATAAGCAATTGACAATGTAGACACATCAGAGAATTGTACATAACCATTTGCATGGATGTACCAAAGCATTTCCAACTTGTTCAAAGAAAAATTGTGTGTGCACAAGTGGCACAATGATGGGAAGTTTGTGTAGGTAGTTTTGATAATTTCAAATACATATTTGTGTATATACATTATGTCAATAAACACCAAATCCAAAAGCAAAACCAAATCTATTTTAACAAAATAACTTAGGATCACGGTCCAAAAATAATATGTTAGAGAAAATTATTAAATACATTTTTTTATAATGAGGAAAATCAGAAAAAAAAACATCTTAAAATAATAAACAATGTTGAGATTTTTTAATAACTTGTTATTTTAATTAAAAATAAGTTTATTATAACTGTTTATATTCACAGAGAAATGGATAAAAAATATTGAACATAAGGGTGTATGAAAAAAGGGTGTAATACACGAACGGTCAAAAGTTTGGGGTCAGTAGGATTTTTAAATGTTTTAAAATAAGCTTCTCCTGCTCACCAAGACTCCATTCATTTTATCGAAAGTGCAGTACAAATTGTACAATTGTGAAATATTATTGCACTATAAAATAACTGCTCAAAAGCAGTTTATAATTGAATTTTATAATTTATTCCAGTGATTTTAAAGATGAATTTTCAGCTTCATTACTCCAGTCTTCGGAGTCCTTCAGAAATCACTCTAATATTAATTATTATTGTTATGATTATTATCAATGGTAATAGTAATAAAAGCAATAATGACTATAGTAATCATTATATTTGAAACTACACGCAACAAGAAGGTAGTTATTTAAAATGCTAATAGATATTTAACATTTTTCTCACATTTAATAAATGTCCCCAGACATGAACTTTCTTTAAAAAAAAAAACAAGAAAAAAAAAACTGACCCCAAACTTTTGACCGAACTGCCAAGCATATTTCCAACACATTTCTATTAAACTTTTTGTGCCATGAAATGTGCAAATGAATCTTTTACTGCTGAAGGAAATGTGGATCAATCAATGGTAAACCAGTTCCCTGAAATGGCTATGTTATTCTTCAATTGAAAAGCATAGACAGAGGACAACAAAAAAGTCACAAAGTCTGACAATGAATGAACGATCATGGTTAAAATTAACGTTCTGCCTAAGGGTTGTTTCCATCAACTTACCTTTCTGTTTTAGCATTTGTACCTGTTTATGTTGTAGCCTATTGTGTTTTCTTATTTTGACCGTATATCCTATAAGCATTTCTATCTTTATAGACCGATATGCATGTAGTAGTTAAACAAGCAAGCTGTTTATTTGAGCAGTAAATCGAAGCAGATTTGTGATAACAAACAAAAGCTTTACTTGTGTTTTTTTATTATTGAATACAAAAATAATAACATCACTGCATTGTAGAAAAAATACAATAACAAAAAATCCATCCAAAAAATACATCCAAAAACTCACAAAGCCTTAATCACTAAGAAAAAAGATTAACATAAGCTTTAAGAAACGTATTATTCTGTATTAATACGTTTAAGAGATTCAATATTGTATGAAATTTCAGCAAGGAAAGTATTAAATATAGTTATTGTTTTAGGAACTTATTTT